CAAAAGGGGAGAGAGGACCGACCCCTGAGGCACCCCACAGGTTAGGGGTCTAGGAGTCGACCTCTGTCCCCCTGCCAATACAGACTGCGTACGGTCGGTGAGGAAGGAGGAGAACCACCGCATAACGGTGCCTCCCACTCCTAACCCACCGAGACGCCGCAGCATGATACCGTGGTCTACGGTATCAAAAGCCACTGAGAGGTCCAAAAGAACAAGGACAGAGGAATATCCTCTGTCCCGGGCCCTCCAGAGATCATTCACCAACGCGACCAATGCCGTTTCCGTGCTGTGCCCTGGCCTGAAGCCCGACTGGTATGGGTCTAGATAGACTGTTTCATCCAGGTGTCGAGGGAATTGCTGTGCAACCACACTCTCAACAACCTTCGCCGCAAAGCGAAGGTTGGAGACCGGGCGATAATTGGCCAACTCACCTGGGTCCAGGGAAGGCTTCTTGAGGAGGGGTCTCACAACGGCCTCCTTAAGGGCCGCAGGGAAGACACCCTCCCGCAAAGAAGCGTTAATAATTCCCTGGAGTCAGGCTCGTGTACCCTCCCGAGCTGCCAGTACCAGCCAGGAGGGACACGGATCTAACAAACATGTGGTTGCAGTTTGGGCACTCGGTCTCTAAAAGGTTCGCCATCACTGTTATAGCTACTTACACTTGTATCTGCAAAACATTAGTCAAGTATTGCTATTTACACAACCTGAAATTCTGTTTTGATAAATGGTGTTTGCTTGCCTATTTGAGGCAATTTTATTGGGAACATTCCCTAGAATAGAATCGAATATAAAGGAATAGGAGTAGGAGTAGGAGTAGGAGTAGGAATAGGAATAGGAATAAGAATAGAATAGAATAGAATAGAATAGAATAGAATAGAATAGAATAGAATAGAAAGGGACCTTGCAGATCTTCTAGTCCAGTTCCCTGCTCAAGCAGGAGAACCTATACCAGCTCAGACAAGTGACTCTCTAGCCTCTTCTTAAAAACTTCCAGTGTTGGAGCACCCACGATTTCTGGAGGCAAGCTGTTCCACTGGTTAATTGTCCTCACTGTCAGGAAGTTTCTCCTTAATTCTAGGTTGCTTCTCTCTTTGGTCAGTTTCCGACCATTGTTTCTCGTCCTTCCTTCTGGTGCTTTGGTGAACAACCTGGCCCCCTCTGCCTTGTGGCAGCCCCTCAAATACTGGAATACTGCTATTTCTTCTTTTCTTTAGACTAGCCAAACCTAAGTCCTGCAGCCGTTCTTCGTATGTTTTAGTCTCCAGGCCTTTGATCATCTTAGTTGCTCTTCTTTGAATTTTTTCCAAATTCTCAACATCTTTTTTGTGATATGGTGACCAAAATTGGCTGCAGTATTCCAGGTGTGGTCTTACTAGGGTTTTATAAAGCAGTACTCATAGCTCATGTGATCTTGATTTTATGCCTCTCTTTATACAACCCAGGATTGTATTGGCTTTTTTGGCTGCTGCTGCACATTGCTGGCTCATGGTTAAATGATCATCCACTAGGACTCCAAGGTCCCTCTCACAGTTACTGTTTTTAAGCCAGGTCTTGCCCAATCTGTACTTGTACCTTTGATTAAATGTAAACAAATGTAAATGTAAAACTAAATGTAAAACTTTGCTTTTCTCCTCATTGAAACTCATTTTGTTGGATAGGGCCCATTGTTCAAGTTTGTCAAGATCCTATTGGATCCTGAGTTTGTCTTCTGGTGGGTTGGCTACTCCTGCTAGTTTGATGTCATCTGCAAATTTGATGAGTTCTCTCATCTAAGTCATTGATGAAGATATGGAAGAGTACTGGGCTTAAGATGGAACCCTGTGATACTCCACTGCTTACTTCTCTCCATGTGGATGTAGTGCCATTGAGGACTATTCTTTGAGTACAGTTTGCCAGTCTGGTGGTGATGTTGTCTGTTCCAGCTTTTTCTAGCTTACTAAGGAGTAGGTTGTGGTCCACTTTATCAAATGCCTTATTGAAGTTGAAGTACACTATGTCCACAGTATTTCACTGGTCTATTAGTTTAGTCACTTTGTCAAAGAATTAAATAAGATTGGTTTGGCATGATCTGTTTTAACAAACCCGTGCTGGCTACTAGTTATAACTTGGTTTGCTTCTATTTGTTTGCAGATCTGTTTTTTGATTATCTTTTCTAGGATCTTCCTAGGTATTGATGTTAAACTGATTGGTCTGCAGTTTCCTAGGTCTGTTTTTTCCCCCTTTCTTGAAGATGGGAACCACATCAGCCCTTTTCCAATCCTCAGGTACTTCCCCGATGCTCCAGGATTTATGAAAGATGTGGTGCAATGGTTCTGAGATAACATCTGCCAGCTCTTTTAGAACTCTGAGATGTAATTTGTTGGGTCCCGGTGATTTATATTCGTCAAGGTCGTATAAGTGTTCTCTTACCATTTTCTTGCTTATTTTAATTTTTGTTTCTAATTTGTCTTTTGCAGTGGTTTTTTGGGTACGTTGGGCTATAGTTTCTTTTTGTGTGAAGACTGACACAAAGTATGAGTTAAGCAGTTCTGCTTTCTCCCTGTTGCCTGTTATTTCCTTGCCATCTTCTCTTTAGTGGACCTATAGTTTCCTTGACTTTTTTCTTGTTGTTAATATGTTGGAAGAAACTTTTTTTTATTATTCATGATTTCTGTTGCAAGTCTTTGTTTGTTCTGAGCCTTTGCTTTCCTGACTTCATCCTTGCATGTTCTGGCTATCTGCTGATAATCCGTCTTAGTTATGTGCCCCTCTTTCCATTTTTTGTATTTGTCCTTTCTGTCTTTCAGTTTGTCAGAGAGATCTTTGTGCAGTCATGTTGGTTTCTTCTTGAATTTCTTGTTTTTCTTTTATGGGAACAATTCCTATCTTTTTCAATCACCTGCACCAGCTCCCCAATTTTCAGGAAGTGTCCTAACCCAGGGGTCCCCAACTCCTGGGCCGCGGCCCACTACTGCCACTCACACAGAACCATCCCCTCCCCCCCACTGGGCTGCCAAACTGGAAAGCTTGGGGACTGCTGTCCTAACCTTCCAGAGATGATTTTGATGAAGGGCATTGGGAAGAGAAAGGAACCAGAAGAACATCATGCTGGATCAGAAGACTTCTGCAAGTCTGCCAGCAAAGAAGCAAACTTTGAAACTATCCGTCTACATGTGTGTGAGGAAAAGAAATAAAACTCAGTATGATAAATACTGCCTAGCTGATTATAAGAATCTCACCAACAATACTGTAGTAATTTCTCCAAATGCTCATTTCTGCTACATATTAGAATGACAACATTATTTTTGGAATGAATATTACTTACGAAAACTAACCTTTAACCTAATCTAAAGCTTTAGAGTTCAGGAACTCTAGCTTGCCTCACAAGTTCTTTGGTTTTCCCCCAAAAAAGGACACTTTGTGTATTTTTAAGTCCTATTATTCAGTATAAATAAATTAGATACTGCATAGCTTCATCATGCATTTTATACTTTACCACTGAGATTTAGGTTTGATTTCACCTTTAGTCTAGATATCCATTGTGACCAAATAAAGAGCAGATTGGTATTTCCACTTGCCAGAACTTGACATCAGAACTTTTTGTTGAAGAAAATGATTTAAAAAATATTCTGTTCAGCACTGGTTAACATTATTACTTTTACCCACACTAGATAGCCTCCCCTCTTCTATAAATTTAGGAATATACTAAAGAAAAAAAGCTTTCTTTCCCTGCAAAGATGAACTTTTCACCAATGTATTAACTGCCTTATGTTCATTTTCTAGACTTCCAGCCAGCTTCCTGGTTGACTCATATGAGAGGTACTAGTTTAAAGTTTCATTAAACAGTTACATGCATATGTAAATGCAAAATTATTCTATAAGTGAACTAAAAAATTATGTCCAACCTTACCTCCTCATGAGGACCACAGCCAGTCACCAAAATGCTTGGCCTGAAGTTATGTATTTGAACTTTCTTCTCCAATCTGGAATTAAGCTCTTCCAAAGAAGCTTCAGAGATGAGCATGACAGGGCTACAGTCAGAATAGGCAATCTAGAGAAGTATATTCCATAAATGAACAATGTCAAAACATCTACATAAAATACAGAGAGAGGGTCAATCTGTAGCACAAAAGGAAGCAATCCCCAAATAATTGTCTGTACAGCTGGGTCTTTGTTTAACAACCACTTGTTGAACAATCATTCAAGCTTATGACAGCTCTGAACAAATGGTAGTTAAGGTCAGTCCTTGGAGTTCCTGCTGCTGCAGCATCCGCATGGTCCAGGCATTTAGCAAGTGGCTTAAGATTATGTCGCAATGAGCCATGGTCACGACTGCAATTTCCAATGTTCCCTGTCAGCTTCCCATAAGCAAAATCAATGGGGAAGCCGGGAGGAAGTCAGATGTTGCTGTCATGTGAGGTCCTTGCTTAATGACAATCAGAACTCCCATCACTAAGCAGCAGAGTCATATGACATTGTAGTTTATAACTGCATTATTTAGCAATGCCCATTCCAATCCCAATTGCCACTGATAACCAAGGACTACTTGTGATATCAGGTAGACTTATTAAACTATGTGTTAAAATATCTGACTACAGCCATTTACTGAAGAAAAAGTATATTTGTCACATGATACTCAAATCTATTTAAGTTTTAGAAAAAAAGGACCCAGCCAGTCACCACTTGGAAACTGATTATCAAGGCGGCTCTCCTTGCATAGGGATCTCC